TGGAGTAGTATTACAACATTTGCCAACTCTACAGGAATAACATTGCAATAGTTGCCAACATTATTGGAGTAGTATTACAATAGTTGCCAATACTACAGAAATAACATTGCAATAGTTTCCAACATTATTGGAGTAGTATTACAAAAGTTGCCAACACTACAGAAATAACATTGTAATAGTTGCCAATATTATTTGAGTAGTATTTAAATAGTTGCCAACACTACAGGAATAACATTGCAATAGTTGCCAATATTATTGGAGTAGTATTACAATAGTTGCCAACTCTACAGGAATAGCATTGCAATAATTGCCAACACTATTGGAGTAGTATTACAATAGTTGCCAACACTACAGGAATAACATTGCAATAGTTGCCAACATTATTGGAGAAGCATTACAATAGTTGCCAACACTACAGGAATAGCATTGCAATAGTTGCCAACATTATTGGAGTAGTATTACAATAGTTGCCAACACTACAGGAATAGCATTGCAATAGTTGCCAACATTATTGGAGTAGTATTACAATAGTTGCCAACACTACAGGAATAACATTGCAATAGAGCCAACATTATTGGAGTAGTATTACAATAGTTGCCAACACTACAGGAATAACATTACAATAGTTGCCAACATTATTGGAGTAGTGCCAACACTACAGGAATACACATTATTGGAGTATAGCCAACACTACAGGAATAGCATTACAATAGTTGCCAACATTATTGGAGTAGTATTACAATAGTTGCCAACTCTACAGGAATAACATTGCAATAGTTGCCAACATTATTGGAGTAGTATTACAATAGTTGCCAACACTACAGGAATAACATTGCAATAGTTGCCAACATTATTGGAGTAGTATTACAATAGTTGCCAACACTACAGGAATAGCATTGCAATAGTTGCCAACATTGTTGGAGTAGTATTACAATAGTTGTCAACACTACAGGAATAGTATTACAACAGTTGCCAACATTATTGGAGTAGTATTATAATAGTTGCCAACACTACAGGAATAGCATTGCAATAGTTGCCAACATTATTGGAGTAGTATTACAATAGTTGCCAACACTACAGGAATAACATTGCAATAGTTGCCAACATTATTGGAGTAGTATTATAATAGTTGCTACTTGTTATACTTTTACTTTACATACATTTGAAATGAATGTAAAATAAGAAATACTGAAAGTTTAATGTCAAAAGTCAACATAAATTCCTGAAATATTCCAGCAATATCCCACCAAGGGATCAAGAAATGGGTTCTACACAGTGGAGCCAATTGAGGAATTGATCCTGGGCAATGAACAAATGATTTAATCACAGCGTTAACCCATAAAACTCATAAAATGCTCAAATACACAGCTGACCTATCATGACAAAAACAATTTCTGAAAAGCTCAGTAACCATTTCTTTTGATAAAAAGAAAAGGAAACAGATCAAAAGATTTGAACATTAAGTTATTCACATCCTTTGCTTTTCACCAAAGCTTCAAGTGTCCTGTTTCTTCTTAGCATGATAGAGGGTTCAACTGACCACAAAGAATTCCCAAAATCTGAGGAGATTGGTCACAACTCAGTGCACCTAACACAATATGACACCTCCTCCTTGACCACGATACCTGCTGGACACCAATAACCGTTACACATCAGTGCATGCAGTCCTATATTTGTGTGCTGTTGGACACAACCCATTATGATTGAATTTAGTTCATGTCTTCAGAGCTTGAGAAGATAGCCTGATTGGTCAGGTCACCATGAACTGGATTCTTACGGTCTGGTTGAAGCTCGGGAAATGAACCTTCACACTTTACATATTGAGACATTTTTTATCTTGATTCAACTTTACAAATAAAGATCAACTAAAAATATGTTAGACCTGATGGGTTTTTTCACTTAACATCTTATTTGTGAGAAAAATACTAAAAAAATAACCTTTTTTCATTTTTAAAACAAAACTCTATACACACTAAAACACATTAAATCAATTCTTTTTAAAAAAATTGCCAACAAGAATTCAAATATTACATCATTGAAAACAAAATATGTCAAACATAATTTCGAAATCAGTGACATCATTCAGAGCAAAAATGCAACACAAACCCTTGGTATTCTTAACTGAACAAAAAAGTTTCAGGATCACAAATTTTGAATGTAAAGGTTTCATGAAATTGTTTGCTAAACCTTCAATACAAAAATAATCAATGACTATTAAGCAATTAGTACACAATGGTGAGTTAGTCAGTTATGAGATAATATATCTTCAACTGATGAAAACACAACCATAAAATATATAGCTAATCAAATGCCACATAATACCTTCTGTGTGAGTATACATAAAACACTTAACAAGAATGTCGAGCAAAATTAAATGCTGTTTCATCTCATTATTGTTATTTTCAAAGTTAGATTAAATAATATAGATCCTAAAATCCTCATTTTTCAGGAAATTAACAATTTTCTCCAATAGGAATTATCTTATCAATGGTACTGGCAAACATATAAGTATGTATCACCCAGGATATTTGTCTGTAGAGAAACAGTAATACAACTGAAATACTGTTCCTAGCGGAGTTAACCCCCAAATCACTGGTCATATTCTGGACATTCTATAAGCTTCCCGGTTCATCCCTTTAGACATTTCAGGTAAGACAACAAATGTTAATGGTCAGATGATGGACGGACTATGAACAAACAATGGATAGAGCAATAACCTCACTAAGACATTTGGTCAGCGTGAGGTCAAAGAATCCCTGATGGAATTCATGCAATCTGTAGATCATGCAGACAAGATGATCATCTCTGACAGAAATGGTCAGTCTGCATTTGTACACAGATTTGATATCATATCATTCTAGGACAGGAGACAGAAAATCTACAGATCATATACAGATTGTAGATATGTTCTGAGATATGACTGTATGCAGTGAAGCCTGGCTGGATAATGTAACCATTTTGCTTTTAATGACCCTGTCAGAAGCATCTTGCATCTGCTTACAACATTCTGCCCTCAAGACATGGGAGATGTGACAAAGACTTGTAGCAAAGAGAGACAGTTTTATCTCTAAGTACAACCATATACAACCGTACATACAACCATGAACAACCACAACTATAAACAACCTTCATGCAACCACATACAACCATAACCATATACATGTACAATCATTTATAACCACTATTGTGTACAATTCTTATAAAACTACATAGAAAGATTTCTTAAGTACAACCCTCCAACAATGACATACAAACACATACAACGAGACCAATGTTCAAACATATACCATCACACACAGACATGACCGTGTATGATTACATAAAGCCAGGACTCTGTACAACCACATACTACCACAAGCACATACATGTACAATCATTTATAACCACTATTGTGTACAATTCTTATAAAACCACATAGAAAGTTGAAGAAGTACAACCCTCCAACAATGACATATAGCCACAAACACATACAAATAATTCAATGTACAATCCTCAAACAACCACACACAACCACATATATCCACAACCACATATAGCCATGTACAAACATATACAATCACATACACACAAGACTGTGTATGAATACATGACTCTGTACAACCACATACAACCATGACTATGTACAACCTTCATACATCCACAACCCTCATACAACCACATATAGCCATCATACATACATGTAGCCATGTACAATCACATACAACTACATACACATACTGTCAACTACAACCATGTACAACCACAAACTTACAAAGACAATCACATACAACCACTTACATAACAAACAAGACATGACACAATAGGTCTGCTTTAAATTAAACACATGAATGCTTCCCATTCACTTGATAACAGTTGATAACACTACTGTTGACAACACAACTGTTGATAACACAGCTGTTGATAACACAGCTGTTGATAACACAGCTGTTGATAACACAGCTGTTGATAACACAACTGTTGATAACACAACTGTTGATAACACACAGCTGTTGATGCTGTTGACAACACAACTGTTGATAACACAACACAACTGTTGATAACACTGTTGATAACACTGGCTGTTGATAACACAACTGTTGACAACACAACTGTTGATAACACAGCTGTTGACAACACAGCTGTTGATAACACACAGCTGTTGATAACACAGCTGTTGATAACACACCTGTTTACAACACAACTGTTTACAACACAGCTGTTGATAACACAACTGTTGATAACACAGCTGTTTATAACACAGCTGTTGATAACACAACTGTTGACAACACAGCTGTTGATAACACAGCTGTTGATAACACAGCTGTTGATAACACAACTGTTGATAACACAGCTGTTGATAACACAGCTGTTTACAACACAACTGTTGATAACACAGCTGTTGATAACACAGCTGTTGATAACACAGCTGTTGATAACACAACTGTTGATAACACTGCTGATAACACAGCTGTTGATAACTGTTGACACAGCTAAACACAACTGTTGACAACACAGCTGTTGATAACACAGCTGTTGATAACACAGCTGTTGACAACACAGCTGTTGATAACACAACTGTTGATAACACAGCTGTTTACAACACAGCTGTTGATAACACAACTGTTGACAACACAGCTGTTGATAACACAGCTGTTGACAACAACACAACTGTTGATAACACAACTGTTGATAACACAGCTGTTGATAACACAACTGTTGACAACACAACTGTTTGACAACACAGCTGTTTTGATACAACAGTTGATAACACAGCTGTTGATAACACAACTGTTTACAGCTGTTGATAACACAGCTGTTGATAACACAACTGTGTTGATAACACAGCTGTTGACAACACAGCTGTTTAACACAACAGCACAGCTGTTGATAACACAGCTGTTGATAACACAACTGTTGATAACACAGCTGTTTACAACACAGCTGTTGATAACACAGCTGTTTACAACACAGCTGTTGATAACACAACTGTTGACAACACATCTGACAACTCATTCCCTCACCTTAATCGTTCCTTCTCCTTCTGTCGTAACTCAAAATCCTTCTGGATCACTTCCAACACTTGTTCACATTCTTCCTGGGAAAGATGTGTTAAATTCACTTTCCGTCCCATTGTGAATTTGGTACTCTGCGATGACACAAATAGAAGAAATTATCCTTTAGATCCTATGATCTTAAAACTTAATTTGTCAGGAGATCCTCGAGATGTGACTGATGTTTATTTCAACCACCATGAAATGCAATACTGATGTCAGGGCAGGGATTACAGACAGGTGATGTTGATTTCAGCCACACACAAATATAAACTGGTCATCCAGTTTCTTGTTTTTCCAACATTACTGAAAGTAAACAACAGTCTGAACACTGTGGAAATATGTTCTGGTGGAAACACTGTGGAAATATGTTCTGGTGGAAACAATGTTGAAATATGTCCTGATCGAAACACTGTGGAAATATGTTCTGGTGGAAACAATGTTGAAATATGTCCTGATCGAAACACTATTGAAATATGTTCTGGTAGAAGATGTTGGTATTTATTCCAGTTGAAGTCCTCTGTTGAAATTTATGCTCCAGTGCAAACACTGTTGAAATATGTTCTGATAGAAACTGTTGGAATTTATTCCAGTTGAAGTGCTCTGTTCAAATTTACACTCCAGTAAAATCACCATTGAAATATGCTCCAATACGTGATTGCAGAGAAGCAGTCAATACGTTTGGTAGACATCAAGTCTACGACAAAAACTCCTTAGCCTTGTAAATATTATGATCTAACAATTCACGACGTCAGCTTGTCAATTTCGCTACTGTCAAGACATGCCACTCCAGTTCTCAATGGCTATCTGTGCTTACATCAACACATGCTTCCACTTTCACTTCCACAGACTCGAAATGCAAACCATCAATACATAGACAAATATTCTATTCACATGCAACGGACATCAATATCTCCTCAATGCAGTGTCAATAGCGTATTGCAATCCATTTACATACATTTCAATCGAAAGTCGAAACTGACGCATATTCAACATGTCACGGATGAAATGAGTAAATATTCCAGAAGAAGATCCTCCACATCTCCCGCCTCCATCAATGCACCATCGAAATCGACGATCCTAAAGGGATAACTGCCCCCAAGGACTCCACATGAAATCTACGAGGGTAGATGTCGTTACCTCTTCTTCCACACATCATATACATGTCACTCACAAGAGAATAGACAGGTTTAGCTCTCCTCTCTAGCTGAACGCTGTGGTTACAATAATCGTCCTCCAACACAATAGCAAGATTGCCAGTCTCTCTGTTGCATGTGAAGCTTGTACATTTCCCTCAGCAAGTCAGCTGGTTTCAATAGCCTGTAGGGACACTGCAATGGATGAGGCCTGGGGACACAAACAACGAGGAATTAGTGAACAATTATGGTCAGTGAGTGAATATATGAATGGTGATTTGGCCCCGATTTCTCAAACAAACTTAAGTCTGAGTTTTGACTTAAGTTAGTGTTCTTACTCAAATTTGAGAAAATGCAGGAAAATGCATTTCCCAGATTAACAGAAATTGACATGAAACTCAAAACATAGTAGACAATTTGAGTTTGGTGGATAGATTACTTAAGTTCTTTGGGCTTTTTTCATTTTAAAAATGCAGTTGAGTTAAAAATTCACCTGTATTATATTGTCAAACTCAGTTTGAAATTTGAGTAAAAACTTAAGTTTGTTTCGAGAAATCGGGGCCTGCTCTTTACATCTCAGGCAGAACGTCTTTCTATCTTAGCAACTCTTACATAATTTGGAGGAAATCATCCCTTTTAGCGCCTGTTGCTTGTGTTTAAGTCCCTGACAGCCATAACGTACATTTCAACAAGCATGACTGGGGGCTTCATGTTGTCGTTACAACTTCTTTGGGCAGCTGCAAGTTTATGTAACACAGTCGGGATTAACATCATGTGAGCACTTAATGCATCAGCTGGCTGGATATTCAAACCTGATGACAATTACCTTTACATAAGTGTGCGAATGAGCTGGATCAACGCTATTTTAAACATCATTTCAGTTATATGACTGTGTGTGGAGCGAAGGTACAGAGTTTTGTAGTTTATGGGCGTTTATAGCCACTTTGGCAAAACTCAAGGGATGATGTTGACACGCCAAGGTCCATTATCAGATCAAACCATAATTAGAGATTCGGCGTTGGTAAAGCAAGCCATTTGCTGTGAATCTTTATATTCCTTCTAGAAGAAGACATTTATTATCTAAACTGATTGGTACAGGGTTTGCCATATGTATGAGTATAGGTCTCTAGTCCATAACACTGACTGACTGACTGACTGACTGACTGACTGACTGTTTGGTTTTACGCCGCTTTTAGCAATATTCCAGCAACATCACGGCGGGGGACACCAGAAATGGGCTTCACACATTGTACCCATGTGGGGATAGTCCATAACACTGGCAGTAGCATTTAAACAACACACAGTTATCTTTTATCAACAGAAACACAGAAACGAATATTGTATTGGTCACAAATGGAGTCAAAGGCTCTGTAGCTCCTTCGAGTGAGTGAGTGAGTGAGTGAGTGAGTGAGTGAGTGAGTGAGTTTTGTTTTACGCTGCACTCAGCAATATTCCAGCTATAAGGCGCGGTCTGTAATTGGACCAGACAATCCAGTGATCAACAGCATGAGCATTGATCTACGCAATTGGGATACAAAGACGTGTCAACCAAGCCAGCGAGCCTGACCACCCGATCCTGTTAGTTGCCTCTTACAACAAGCATGAAGATCAATTCCAACATGAATCTTCACGGGTCAGCTACTTCGAATTATACTGGAATACTTGCATTCAATCATTATTTCATAATACATATTACCAATAACTATGAAAATAAAATTGTCCAACTGTCTTGATAGCAAAAACATCATTAATATTTGAAATTGATAATAGTACTGAGCAACTGATATTTTCAGTATGGCTGCCATGACAGCCATGTTATATAATCGGATCAGACTTACACTTGAAATGAAAGCTCTGAAAATGGAAAAAGGAAGTGACAACCGCACTGAAATTGAGAATGAAATTTAATAAGCATTTTTAATGTCACTATGCATTGCACTGTCATTCGTTCAATGTCTGAACTTTCTTGACAAAGCAATAAAGACGTGTCAAACTGTAAAAATCTAAAATTAATGATGACATAACACATAGCTCATGTGAATTTCCATCAGAAACAATTTCTCAGCATGTTTCAAAGCGAACCACTGGTTGTGAAAATAATAACAAAATAACATTTTCGTGCTGCCAGAGCAAATCCATTGGCGTCACATAATTACAGTGTAGAAATGTTAGGGTGATGCTGGTCATCGATAACTGCTTCCACAATAATCATAAACCATTCATTACTTGGTACAGTCAGAGTAACCTTCCCTGTCAACTTGTTCTCATGCTGAGAGAACTAGAGAAAACACTTCGCTATTCATCAGCAAGCCTCTCCACGATGATTTACATGCAAAAGTTGCCTCCCATCAAACCCTTTCCAAGACTTTCATTGCTGATGTTAAACTTATAAAAGCTGTGACTTTTTTCATCCTGGGACAATAGAATGAAAGTGTAGTTATTGCTGCATTACTTGAGCATTTAACAATAAGTGAGTCAGAATGGTTTTATGCAGCTTTTAGCAATATTCCAACAATATCCCAGTAGGGGACAAACAATTCTACTGAACCATTGGGCTACCACACCACCCTGCCATTTAACAGAGTCACAAACCAAAATGATGCTTAATCGGAAAGAGTCGGTAGATATTCTTTACAGCTATTGTAACCAACATGCATCCTCTTCACGCTTGATTGACTGAACATTTAAGGTAATTCTCTAACAATTACTTCCTATTACGCTTACTTCCAAAAGAATAACCAGCCATTAAAAAACCATCAGTGACAGTTATAGTCATATCGATATTGCAGTCGAGCTGATATACTTGAAACAACATAAACTGAAATATTTGTTTGACATTTATAAGGTTCTCTGAAGATAGTTCAGGAAAGTTGGAAGAAACCAAGAAACTAACAAATCACTCAGTTTTTCTTTTCAAATAAGGAATTGATACTTCCCGAAAACTCAACCTTCCAGCAACAAAATTCTGTTAAGTGTCCACTTGATAAAATTGATAAATTGTGTTAAAGGTTTAATGCCAAGAATGCAAGGATAAAAGCATTGGAGTAGGGATTGTTTGTACTTCAGAACTGTGAAAATAGGTGTGAAATACTGTGTCGATTAAGTTGCCTGTGAGGCATCATATAAATCTACTTACATATACACCAACCACCTAAATACGTAACATTATGATTTCTTTCACATGAATTGTGTCACCATATTTCTACGTCAACATACCCTACTAAATATCGTTTTCAGTGTTTATGTTTGATGAACATTCAAAGATGTTAATTTAACAAAAGGAAATAAAATCAAATGCAGTTTAAAACATGCATCATGTGAATAACATGTCGAAAATAGCATAGACAATGAATCTCCATCGAACTATTATTTTCATATTTTGATGAAAACCTACTGATTAATTTATTGTGATCATGAAGAAAATTGTTATTAGAATATAATGAAAATGACTTTCATTTCCAATTCACTTCAACATGTCATACTTAAAACAAATTATTTAATTAAATCCACGTACACTGACATCTTTCAATTACCTATCAAATAAATGGTCATTGAAGGTCATAAAAACATTCAGTGACTCTGCCATGGGTAAGTGACACCAGCAATACATTCAATTAATCTAAACCTAGATATATGGCATACATATACAATGTTCAAAAAACAACCATATTAATGAATCCAATCAACAAAATTGACCAGGTCTGCTAACAAATAATTACCCCATTATTGCTAAAACTATTAACAAACTCAATACTTACCACACAAACTGTGTCAACTTCTTACATATCATTTGCTCCAATTGAGACACTGACTTTCAACATTTTTAATATAAAACAAATTATTTAATTAAACCCATATTCACAGACCTTCAATAGCCTACCCAATAAATGGTCATTCAATGTCACGAAAACATTCAGCAACTCGGCCGTGGGTCAGTGATACCATCAATAAATTCAAAATATCCATACCCAGATATGTGGCATACATGGCCGCCTCTCAATGTATAAAATGTCCGCATATACAATCCTCACAAAACAACCAAATTAATACATCGAATCAATAAAATTAACCAGGTCCTGTAACAGATTCAATAATTACCCATTATCGTTAAAACTATTAAGAAACTCAATACTTACCACAGAACTGTGTCAACTTCCTACATATCATTTGCTCAAACTGAGACACCGACTTGCAACATGTCTGCATTCAGCATCAATTTGCCTCGTGTTATCATTAATCAATATGAAATAAAGCAATAAACTGAACAACATTGTTACAACCTCATGCCGCCTTCATAAAGCCATTGACAGTGTGACGATAGCCATCATTTAGCCAAGCCACACGTGACTGCGTGGGGATCCAGCTCGTGTGGAAATGGCACGTGATGTTGGTTTATACTTATGTCATTCAAAGCTCCAACACAGGTATACATACACAGACACACTGGAAATAATTGCATCTTTTGTACTGCATGCAATTCTCAAATTTGAAGTTATAATGTCAAAAGTCTGATTGCTCTTGTGACCTACAATATTCCACAATGGTGAAATATATGTTAATGACCGACATGGCGCTTCAGATCCGCCTCTCCAAATATATATGTATATGCTAAAGAAAACATTTTGACGGGGATATTTTATTAATTTTTATGCTAAGTCTTCACTACAGAAAATATTGCACTAAACATTAATGAAGCCTGATTTATTTAGTTCAATATATATTCAAAACCAACCTAAGGTAACAAATAAATTTCATTTGAATTTACAGAGCAAAAAGTCCTGAACATTAAAAAACAACTAACTAGTTTCAATATATTTGCCATATGCCAAATTCCCCATCTTCGATGGGTTAGACAAAATAATATGATACCACTACAAAAATTGTAAAATACTGAAGTAAGTCTTTACTTTCTGAATAACAATTGCTGACTTCATGTTAAGTAATCTCCTGCCTCTGCTATCCCCTCAATAAGACAGAAGTATAGACATCAGCCTGATGGCTCTAATGAGGTGAAGGTTTACATAAAACAATTAAAACAAAAAAGATAAACATAGGATGTGTCAAATTATTTTCACTATTTTCACTAAATGTCTGTTAAAAAAATGACTTGGTATAAAAAAATTTTTATTGTTCATCATTATCTTGTAAAAGTTGTTTCTTACAGTATTTATGTAAATAAACTCTCACTCTTTGGCATATGCAGAATACAAA